AGGGGCGACAAGCCGAGAACAGGACGGCCCCTCGGGCAACGCAGACTCCAGTGCCGGCTCCGGCCGACCCTGGAGCTTCCCGGGCTCTGACGAGGACTGGATTTTGCTCAAAGCTGATGTTACTAAGGCGCACAGGAGAATCAAGATTCTCCTAAGAGAGTGGCGTTACCAAGTTGCCCAGCTTGGTGAGGAATGGTGGGTCAACACCGTAGGCACCTATGGAATGGCCAGTGCCCAGCTCTACTGGGGAAGGATGGCTGCCATCCTTCTTAGGATTGTGTATGCCGTGTTTCCCGAGGTTGACTGGGGTTTCGTCTTTGTCGACGACTTTGCCTGGCTACTCCGTAAATCGAATTCCCCTCTGCTGGCAACAGCGATTTGTTTGCTGTTGCTTGCTCTTGGCACTCCTCTGAGCTGGAAGAAAACCCTGCTTGCTGAGGTTAATACTTGGCTTGGCTTTGTCATTGACCCAAAAGGACCCTGTGTGCAGATGGCCCGAGACAAGCACCTGCTTGTCATCGGCATTCTTGAAGAGCTTAAAAGCGGTAAAGTCATGTCGGCTTCTCAGATCGCTAGCGCTTTGGGTAGGCTGCAGTGGGCGACAACGGCCTGCCCCCTCACCAAGCCTTTCCTCCAACCCTTTTGGGCTTGGAAGAAGGCCTGCCTGACAGCAGGGCGTCCGGGTAAGCTTATCCGTGCGCTCTCGGCTCTGCTCCTCTCTCTTTTTGACCAGAAGTTCCGACAAGCATCGCCGTATGCCCCGCTTGCCATTTGGTCGGGGGCAAGTGATGCTAGCGCCTCAGATGATGGCAGCGCCTATGTGGGCGGCTGGCTCTCTAACGCGGACTCCCCGTCCAAGTCGGAAGTGTTCTGGTTCCACTACCAGGTCACTGCAGAGCGGCATCCATGGGCATTTGACAAGGGCTGCCCGAAAAAGCGCATTGCTGCCCTCGAGATGTTTGGCACACTGATCCTCTCTCACTTTCTCATGGAGAAGGCGCCTGCGTTCATACCGAACCTCAGGCTCCCCCTGGTCAGCGACAACCAAGGGAATGTGTACTCGCTCCTGAACGATAAGTCCAAGAGGATGCCAACGTCGGTCATCCTCATGGAGATACTGTACCAGCTGCACCGGCATGGTATGCAGCTCGCACCCTCCCACGTCAAGCGTGACTTCAACACTTGGGCTGATGATCTGACTCATCCCAACTTTCAAGGTTTCACTCCATCTCTCTGCTTGCCGGTGGAACCCGTGCTCGAGCATTTTTCCCTCATCCGCTCTATCCTGGAAGATCGTATTTTCGACGATCCTTCTGACCTCACCCATGGGCCCGCGCAGGGCGCCCGGTGAGGATGTGGCTGCCTCCTGTACAGGCTTCTTTCTGGACGGCACAAAATTTTGGAACTCTTTTCTGTACAAGGAGGGTTCCCGATCCACAGGTGCCGTAGGCCCTGAAGGAGGGGACCCTCCTGTGCTTCGAAACGGCCTCTTTCTTGGCTGAGGTCTTCGACCGAAGGAACATCCCGGGAGTCGGCAGCCACACCAATCCACCATGCAAAAGAGGGCTTGCGTGCATGGTTTTTGGTGTGCCATTTTCATGCGGATATCTGACATTTTTTAACATTATTCATTTTTGGGTCGTTGTTTGTTCTTGCCACCTCGTTCTTCGGAGAAACTGCTCGCTAGTCGGGGTTCAGTCTGCAGTCTTGGCTCAAGACCCATCTCGGGTAAGAGACTCGACAAAAGGCATCAGGAAAAGGCCAGGCCGAGCTTTGCACAGCCATGACCTGCCGTTTTCAGAAGGCCCAGCCCCCTTAAGCCTCCTTCCGTCACGGCCCAAGAGCCACAACCTGCCAAAAACCAAACCCACAATGTTGGACCACGGCCCATTCGGCCTATCAAAAGCCCGCATCATGAGCATCAGCTGGAAGCCTCGGGCCAGTCTGGCCGCGCAGAGCCCCGCTGATGCTCATGATGCGCGCGCCTGCGGTGATGAGCTGGTTTGCCATTTGCTGCCATCGCGGACGGACGCAGAACACTCGGATTCAACAAGCCGTCCAAAAACATGACCGAAACGCGACACGGAACGTGCGTTGTTTTTCGTGGCCGCCCCCAACTAATTTCGAGTTTTCGCGTCCGTGCCAGCGACGCCGCAGAGGCGCGCATCACGAGCATCAGCGGGTCCCCTGTGACACGGCAGAGGAGGGTTGGCGGCGTTGGCGGGCCACCTTACAAAGGCTTCGCGTTTGGAGCTTCTCCTAGCTCCTGGCGACCCATGGCCGCACCTGCGGAAAGGGCCCGATGCACTGCCCCATTGATATATTGATTTGTTCTTTGTTGATAGAAACACTGATACGTTTGATGCATTGATACATTGATATGTTGAGATATCGAGATGTTGACATATTGAGATGTTGATTGCCCGCGAACATAGAAATACGAATGCATGTGCATGGTACAGAACTGAGGCTTACGACCAAGATCGTGACGGCATCATCAATTGGGAAGAATTCGTGGAAACTCATGGAGTTCTGCAGAACGCTCTTCGCCTCAATCCATCATTGGAAGGCGATAAGGACCCTGACATGATCAAGGGTGACCTGCACCACTGCTACCTCACGATGATTGGCTCCGAAGGTGTCGGATCCTGAGGTGGTGCGTTGTGGTGCTGCAGTCCATTTTGGCGTTTCGTGACTGGCTGCAATTCCAGTGTTGCCAGGACAGGCGGCTCACCTTCGCCAGGTTCATAACGTGGCATCGAGATGCCCTTATGTCGTCTTCCCTTCCGTCCGATGTGCTTGCGAAGACCCTTCGCAGTGTAACTTGACGGCACAACTCGAAACAGATGTAAGGCTTCGTTGAGGAGAGTCGGAAGGGAGCACGTGCAAAGGTGGCCAAGCAGCTCCAGCGCGTCTTCAAGTTGTCTGAGATGCTAGGTGCAGATTTTGTTGCGTTTCTCTGGATGCCTAAATGAATCTTGTTGGCATCCCTAAAGATCCTAAGCCTGGACTCCTAAAGCCTTAGGATCGAGAAGCGCGGACAACTAACAGAGTCCGACAAACAGGCGGGATCAGTGGAGTCGGGATTCTTGAACCGCCTTCCTGGCCAGCATGGAGACTTGATGCCAGGTGCTGGTACGTATCCTTCAGCACCTTGCGCAGTTCAGTCGTGAGCTCTGGGGTCAATCCGGCTGCCAGCGGGATGCGGTGGTCGCACACAGCTTCGCCAACAAGTGGACGGAGACCCGGTTGCAGAGAGATGTGGCACGGCCATCAGATGAATCATCTGCCTTTTGAATGTGTGTATCTCCCCCTCGCTCTCTTCTCAAGTCTCTTCGTCAAAGACCTGCATGGGTTTACTCTCCGGGCTCTTTGCTAACCACTGCACTTAGTCCGCACTTGGCCGTCGAGGCGCCGGTGGTAGGCATGAATGTGCAGCAGCTGAAAGCGGTCTTCTTGCACGACTTCGATAGAAGCCGTCTGAAGTTCAGCTCCCGCGTGGCCTTGAAGAAGTGGGAGATCTTTTGCATCCCGGCCATCCCGATCCCACACCGTCTCCCAGCCTGGTTGGCGAGAGTGAGGCTTGTGACGGAGCTCGAAGATGGCCGAAAGTTGAGCAGCGGCTTCCACGTCTATCGCTATCAACAAGAGTTCTTCACTTGGCACCTCATCTCAGATAGCACCGCTGACACAGCTTTCGAGGCACCCTTTGTCGGACTTCTCACTGATTGATCGATCCTAGGCCTAAGCTCATTTTGAGGGTCGTCTGCTTCAAGTCTTCTTGGCTTCGAAGCTCTTCCTTTCGGTCTCGTCTTTCTCTTCCTTTGCCTCCCGAAAGTTGCAAATCCTTTCCACGTGCCATCAGTCAGAGGCTCACAGCTCTCTTTGTGCTTTTCCTCCAATCTTCTTCTTGCCTTCGGTCAACTGCAATGCTGCCAATGCTCTTCGGGAGGTGGCCTTGGAGGGTCTCAGCGCCGAGTTGCGGCTGTTCTGCCTACTGAAGACCCTTGCCAACTTCGGTGTTCGCCTTCCGTGGCCCAACTTGCAGGAGGCCTTGTCCCAGGCCGTGGGAATGCGGATCGTCACCGAGGAGCAGCGCCGCCTCTGCCTCTCTGCTTTCGAGGAGCAGGTTGCCAAGGGCCTTCACGCCGAGGGCCTCTACTTCAGCCGAGAGCGCTTGGAGAAGGTGACCGCAGGCCTCGTTACCTCCCCTAGCCACGTCATGGGCATCTTCGTCGGGACCTCAGCCTACAGTCCTCCGTTGTCGTGTCTATAGATCCCACACCAGAGTTGGAGCATCAAGAATCGGCGAAGCTACACAGCTACCCTCCAGATTCTTCGGTTTGGTGGGGGTTTCAGCCATCACCGATCTGCGCTCCTACACGGCTATTCTCAAGAAGCCAGAATGATTTATTGAGCCGCGTGCATAGACTTACGCAGCGTGGAATGCAGCACGCCATGAGAAGTGTTCGCTGCCTTCAACACCCGTCGTGGGTTGCTGTGATACTTGAAGCAGGTAGGACCAGTGGAGGGCCGTAGGCAGGGGAGGTTCAGATTGCGACATTGAGGCCGAGATGGGCGTCTTTCCTGTGACTTCTGTCTGGGCAGACTTCCTTGATGCCTGAAGCGAGCGGCCTCGAGCCCCAGCCTGCGGAAGACCCGTGGGCCCTGTACAAAGCGGCTAGGGGGGACCTGTCCGGGACAGCCTTGTGCAAAAGAGAGCTCCTTGTGCCATTCGACTCGCGTGGAAAGGGGCCTTTTCGCGAGTTGTGGTCAGGCTTGGATCATCAGGGTCTGGGGCGTTTAAGCCGGACGGATTTCGAGTATCTCCAGCAGGTCTCCTCGCACCGGCCTTGGTGGCCTTGGCTTTGTGTTGGGAAACGGTTCAGCCCTTCCCAGGTGCTCCGCGCAGGCTCTGAGATCGATTCTACCGTGTTGCTGTGTTTCGTCGCTTTTCTGTGGTTGGGGTTGCATGGGTCGTAGTTGAGTGCTGAGAGGGCATGAGCATCGAATTGCGGATGCTGCGCAGCTGGGCCGCCGAGGTGCTCTGGCGGCAATTGCCCTTTGCCCTTTCACGCTTTCACGTGTCCCGAACGGCGGATCGAGGTCTGCGCTGACAGCATCGACCTCCTTTTGAGGCGAGCACCGGTCGCGATGGCTTGACAGAGGGACGGCCGTTTCTGGGGCATGGGGCAGGCTGAAGATGATCGGCGACCACGCCGGAGGGTGGGCCCAGGCCGCAGCCGCTCGGGGAGCAGCGGAGCCGCTCCGCCGCTGCGCTTCAATTGAGCGGCAGGTGCTGGAGCCCATCGAGGCCTCCGAGTTCGCTCGACGCCTCGAGGCTCCTCTGCAGTGCCACTTGAGAAAACGAAGCACCCTAATTTGCTTCTGGCAGGTGTTGGGCTTTCCTGGGGAGCCCGCCGAGATCGCGGCGGAGGCAAGGCGCTCTTCAGCCTCTTCAGCGGCTCTCCAAAAAGGGGCTCTGGCACTCGCGGGACAGGTGGCAAGATGTCGTGGGAACGGCCTGAGCCTCTGGAGTGATTTCGTGTTGCCCTCGGTTGGTAGCGTTTGGCCAAGGGACTGGGACCCAGGGAGCTTGAGCTGGGTCTTGAACCGTGTTGTCTTGGCTTAGTAGCTCAGCGTTTGTTGCTGCGCTTGGGATGTTCGGGCCCCCCAAGTCCAGTTGGCGGGGAAGGGATCGGCGGTCCCAACGACTCGAATAGTGCGTGGACGTGCTCTGATATTCAAGGTGCCGCCAGTCAGATCTCCGTAGAACATGTCTGCTGCGTCTGGCTCCTGAGTTGTTGGGCCGCATGGAAGGCTATGTGCTCCTGACACGAGTCTCAGGCCCTTTTCGGTCTGAAGCAGTTCCGACGTGCTCCAGGCGCTCGGCGCTTTTGCAATGAATTGGTCCGTCACCCGCGTGCTGTAGGCACGGCCAAAGATGCCGTGAAGACCAAGCCCACGCCTACCACACCCGCCAGGGCCCTCGTTCAGCGCAGCTTGTGCCTTCGAGGGCCATGACCACAAGTCGTGAGGTGCGCAAAAAGAATCCGATCCGCAAAGCTGAGTGGGATTCCAGCATCTTTTCGGGCGCTTCGCTTGGTTTGGCTCTCGACTCCAGTTCAAGCTCCATAGCTTCTGTACTCAGGCTTCTGCGCCAATGCTTCAAGGCTTATCAAGCTTAGATGGACTTTGAGATCTCCCGCATTCCGGACTGTAGGCCGGCTTCTCTGCGCGTGTACTTCAGTTCGCAGGAGTCTGAGCGGGCATTTTCCCACCGTTCCAATCGTCTATGGGGGATCTTAAGCGAGGCCCCCGAAGGATCCCGTCATGCACCGGGCAGCATCCTTGGCACCCTGCAAGACTGCACAAGACGCTGCGCGGCATCACGGCCTGCCCAGGCTGCATCCAACCCTGCACTGAGCAGGTCGAGCCTTCGTCCCAGAATCTGATCCATAAGCCAAGCTTTCGACTTGCCTCAGGCCGGCAACAGTGGCAACGGGGCCCATGGGCCCTTCTGCGAACAAGGGCGGTTCTGCGCAGGAAGCGAGACCAAAGGCTGTCTTTGGCCTTCTTAGCCTGCCTTGATCCTGTCCCTTCTGGAGGACCGCCGCGGTCGCAGTGCGTCGCCGCACAGACAGCGCCTTCCACGCCGAGCCTGTCCCTTGAAACCGCGGGATCCGCCGGGACACCCGTGTCCACGCATTGCGCGCGGTGGGCTTCCAAGGTGCGGCCAGGGGAGTTGAATCACCGACCCTGAGAGCCCGAGAGCCCTGCTTAAAGCAGGGCAGAGCTTCAGGGGGCCCCTCGTGCGCCCTCTCCCAGATCGCATCAAAAAGGCAGAAGCGCGTGAATTTCCCCCACGTCTGCGAACTGGAAAGATAGCTTGCGCTCTGTGAGTTGGAGAGCTGAGAGTGTCCTCTCTGCCTCTCCGCCTCTCCTCCCTGCAGGAGCCTCGAGAACCATGCTGCAACTCGAGCTTGACGGACCAACAAGACCCTGTGAGGAAGCTTTCGGCTTGAAACACATTCACTTTCAGTCGACTTGCCGCACAAGTCAGAAAACCATTTGAGCTACGCCACGCCAAAGCAGCGACGTCTTCCACGATGACGATGGCCAACCATGCACGCAAACATGGCCGTGTAGATCCTCTCCTGATCGCTGCGGGGAGTACGCGATGGGCCCAAAGCCGGAGCAGCCTTTGGAGGCATGGACTTGGACTGATTCATTGCTACGGAAATTATGCTTTCATAGCTACTGTCATTCTTGTCTGGATTATACAGGCCGCCCACAGCGACAGTGATGATCTTTGAGAATGGTAGCAGTAGGAGCCCTGGTTAATGTAGCATTAATGCTGTAATCTGGGTAGCATGGCTGCTGCTGACAACGACATGCAATAATGCCATCGAGGGTACCCATTATTGTAAACAGTCCTGCTGATGAGCACAGGAATTGAGCAAACACTACAACACATCACTGTTCTGGTCTCGCTAGTCGTGTGCAAGCAGGTGATGCCGCTTCAGCGGGCGTCGTGCAACCTCATGTCAGGCGGGTGGGCTGTGGATGCTCTTTGATGCGTCGTTGACGCTGCGTGCATGTGGCTTTCGAAATGTGTTGCGACCGCACCTTGGAGGCATACACCTTGCAAGAAGATATTCGTGCCAGGTGCGGCAGTCCAGACGCAGACATCTCTCCAGCAGGATGCGCTTTGCTCCGAGGCTTGGGCAAACCGTGGGCCATGCGTGCGGAAACTTTCAGCAGCAACGTTGCAGGCTTTGGGACTGCGGCAATCCCCAAGTGTGGCCTCGGCCTTACCAGCAGCGCCCATCACCATACAGCGAGCGACGTTCTCGGAGGTCTATCGCATCGGCGTGTTGGGAGGATCTTTGGTATCGTTGCTCGGACATGTCTTCCGTTTCAATGCCTCCTGTCCGCTGGTAATCGGCCCCAAACCGAAAAAGCCAGGCTGGCCCATTATCTCTGCCCCTGCATCAGCTCCTGCCCCGAACTGAGCCGTGGAAAAGCTGTCGCACAACAGTTGCTCTGACAGCAGCATTTGGAAAGGCATCACCTCGTGAGATTTGCGGTTGCATTGGCATACCATGCCGATGCGTGAACGATGAGCCGCCAAGACGGCTGGCCACGGCCCTGGCTTACGCAAGACCTGGAAGCGACTGATAAACGAGCAGCCAGCCAGGTCGCTCTTCTGTGTTCAGATCTTTCGCAGGGTGCGTGCTGATCGCGGGTCGGGACACGGTAGGCGTCGCCACTCAAGCCTCTTAAGCCTCTTTGCGCCGTGCGCGGCTTCGGAAGTTACAAGCGCTTCCGCTGCCAGTAGAGGTTTCGGGGCAGCCATGGAATGCCCTTTCGAATGTTTCAGTGGCCTGCGGCGCCTCGGAGAGTGCCTGAACGGCCCTCTCAGCGAGTTGGCGCGCGGCTACCGTGATGGCAAGGCCAGTCTTTGAAAGGGCAGACATGCGACACTACGTTCGAGATTTTGGCAGCTTTGTGAAATTGCCGGATACAAAGCATGTTGCCTTCCAGGCAAAGGTCTCTGCGGCCTTGCTGGAGCTGCTGCTTGGGTTTTATCTTGGCTTTCTGAGGGGTTGGGCGGCCTTGCGGGCTTTGCGCATACATGTGTTTCCTCCACGTCGCCGCGGCGAGGTCCGTGCCGCAAGCGGCCATCATCAACGAGGCACGCCGTGCTCAAATACAGTGTTGCTGGATGGGCTCCGTCGGATTCGCCTGGCACTTTTTGGCGATGTCATGCGGGCACGCGTAGTTCCCACGACACAGTTTTTTCAGAGAATTACGGGGGCAGGGTTGGTCTAACCACACGAAGCGCGCGGTTCTGCGGCTCCGGCCTGGATGCCCAGCTCGATTTGGACCAACATGCTCTCGCCACTTCCCCTTGCTGGATACCGCAGCGGGTGATTCTCAGAAAGTGCAGACGGCAGTTTAACATATTCTAGGGGCTGCGCCCACGGGCAGGCAGCGCAGTATAGGCCTGCAGCAATGCCACCCTCCCGCCCTCCGCCGAACCCCGCTGATGCTGATGATGCGCGACCTTTGAGGGCTTCCACAACTTATTCATAATTTGGCAGAACATCGCCTCGGCACTCGGCCAAGGCGAGAACTCACAGGGCGCACGTGCTCGGGGACCGAGCGCTGCCCGATGTATTGGCTTCCGTCGTGTGCCGCCGACCCCGAAAGCCGGAAGCTGACTATTTAAGGAAGGCAGCAGGTGTTGAAAGTCAATTCTGACACAGGGACCTAGTGACAAGAAAGAACAAGACAGGGCATCCATCTATTGTGTATCAGCTCGTGCTGACCGTCGCTACTGCCGATTGGGTGATGGTAACTGGTAACAGCGCGCTCTCAAAGTGTGCCGCGGAGGGTGCCGAAGGGCGCGGCGGGGCGGGGGGTTGGGCTTGCATTGAGATGGAATTCAATTACTCCTCTGATGCCACCAAAAACAAGCCCGAAATGGCCCAAACCGGAGCCAAAGTGTGACGCGGAGGCTGCGGATGGGGGCGGCGGGGCGGGCGGGGCATGCATTGGAATGGAATCAACCTACTCTGATATACCACTAAAAGCAAGCCCACAAAATTGCCCAATCGGGAGCCAAAGTGTGCTGCAGAGGATTCGGATGGGCGCGAGAACACAGCTTCTCGGCACCGCCCCACGGGGTCGGCGGATGGAAGCATTTCGGTGTTCTGCATCTTCGCGAATCGCGCTCTCGCGAAGCCTTCAGTGGTCTTGGGAGTGGTCTTCAAGTGGTCTTGGCCAGGTTCTTCGCGTGGTTTGGGAGTTTGAACTTGGAGGTGTAGGACCTGAACCTTTTTTGAAGCCGGAAGCCCTGGGGGAGGCGGCACCCAGCGGCGAGCTGGTGGCCGATGCTCCAGGCTGCTTTTCCTTCACTGCGGGCTAGTTTTCTTGTGCTTGTGGTTCAGGAGTAGGATGTTGGGTCCTAGGCAACCTGGTTCGAAAGGCAAAAGCGCGTCAAAGCACATTTTTCACTGTCAACCCACTTTGCAGGCGAGTCGGAAGAGGGCTCCGTTCAAGCCGGTGTAGGGGCCTCAGAGCTTCTTGGTTGGAGTTGAGATTGTTTTGGGCTGAGAAACGTGGGCATTGGTGGGTGTGTGTGTGTGTTCTTTTTTGGGGGCGCGTATCGACGAACATCGTTAGTGACTAGTTAGTGCCACAGACAAGGATGTCAGGTCCAAAGCATGAACAGTAGAGCAACTTTAAACGCAGGAAGCCCAAATCAGACTTAGCTGCAGACTTGACAGAAAGCCCTACTTTTCGCGTCCAGAGACCGATCCGGTTGACAATGCATGAGATTCAGGTAGTGGCTGCAAGTATGAAGTACTACTTTCGTATACTGCGAAGGGTACACAGTCGTAAGTGGTCAGTAGGAAGAAGAGGGATGTTGCAAATATTAAGTGAAGTGCAAGTAGCTAAGTGGCAAGTGCAAGTAGACCCTTTTCCGTGGCAGGTGGTAGTTGGCAGTTTTGGAGTGGCAAGTAGAAGTAGTAGTAGTAGTAGTAGTAGCAGTAGCAGCAGCAGTAGTAGTCGTAGTAGTAGAAGTAGTAGCAGTAGCAGTAGCAGTAGCAGTAACAGTAGCAGTAGCAGTAGCAGCAGGAGTAGCAGTAGCAGCAGTAGTAGTAGTAGTAGCAGCAGCACCAGCAGGAGTAGTAGTAGTAGTAGTAGTAGTAGTCGTAGTAGAAGCAGTCAGCAGTGGTAACAGTCGTGGTCGCGGTGGTGGCGGTGGTGGTAGTGGCAGTGGTAGGAGTAGTGGCAGTGGGAGTGGTAGTGGTAGTTGTAGTGGTCGTGGTGCTGGTAGTGGGCGTGGTCGTGGTGGTGGTAGTAGCAGTGGCAGTGGCAGTGGGAGTGGGAGTGATAGTGGTGGTGGTGCTGGGGGTGGTGCTGGTGCTGGTGGTGGTGCTGGTGGTCGTGGTCGTAGTGGTAGTGTAGAGGTAGCAGCAGTAGTAGTAGCAGTAGTAGCAGTAGTAGCAGTAGTAGCAGTAGTAGCAGTAGCAGCAGTAGTAGTAGCAGCAGTAGCAGCAGTAGCAGCAGTAGTAGCAGTAGTAGCAGTAGCAGTAGCAGTAGCAGTAGCAGTAGCAGTAGCAGTAGCAGTAGCAGTAGTAGTAGTAGTAGTAGCAGCAGAAGGACGAGTAGTAGTAGTAGTAGTAGTAGTAGTAGTAGTAGTAGTAGTAGTAGTAGTAGTAGTAGTAGTAGTAGTAGTAGTAGTAGTAGTAGTAGTAGTGGTAGTAGTAGTACTAGTAGTAGTAGTAGTAATAGTGGTAGTAGTAGTAGTGGTATCAGTAGCAGTAATAATCATAGTAGTGGTAATAGTGGTAGTTGTGGTAGTAGTGGTAGTCGTGGTAGTAGTGGTAGTAGTGGTAGTGATTCTAGTACTGGTAACTGAGTACTAGGCAATATAACCCATAATTATAAAGTGTCACATGTCCAGCAGCAGTTCTGAGATTCCATGGCTGCATGCTTTGATTGAGGTGAAAGCAACAACTTGGAACCTGAACACCACGTCCCCACGGCCAGGTGCACATTGGCAGGGAGGCCGTTGCCGTTGCCATGCACAGGAGCTAAGGGCACAGCCGCATGGCCGGCTTCTGCTGGGGGTGACAATTGGCAGGCTGGTGTTTGTCTCGTCAGGATGCGGATCAAGCAGGATGACAGCTGGAGGCCTGTTCTGTGTTAACGGAATGGTCCGCCAAGAAAGTGTGTCAGGTAGCTTGCTTGCGCATGAGATTGCTGGGGTGGTGCATCATGGAGATAATGCCCTCACAGTAGATGGACGGATAGACAGATAGCCGAAATAGGCTCCACAAGCGAGACCTTAGCCTTAACCAAAGAGGTCACTAGCACGTGCGCACCAGACCCAGGAGTACCTAGGGGTGCGTCGGTGCTTGAGTCCGGAAGGGGTACCCCATGCAGCTCTGCAACGTATGAGGCAAGATCGTGAGCTGGACAAGGAGGTGGGGAGCCAGATCGAACACGCTGCACAATCATTGCGTTGCATAGCCAGCACCTCTGTCTATTGCAATCTCTCTCTTCTAGAGGGGTGGTTACTCTCAAACTACCCGCATCTGGCAGGGATGCTGAAACCGCCCCAACGGCGGCTCGTGCCAGCACCTTTACACCTGCCTGGGTCCATTTCGACAGTGCACAAAAGCGGAGCAGCCACGTAGGGCGGAATCAAGATCCAAGGAGGCCCCAAAACGAAGCAAGCAAATGGGGAGAGTGAGGTGGCTGGGGCGCTCCTTGTAACGCCTGAACCTGAAACAGCCATGAAAATTCGCGAAGCAGATGAGTGCAGCAAGATATGATATGGGAAGCCAGCACATTTTGGGGAGTTTTTGCATGCCACACCATCAGAGAATGGTGCTGCAGCTTGTTGGTGCAAACAGATGCATGTGCTCGCTGTGATGCTGCAAAATCAGGTGTGTTGTCGCTTGTGGCATGTTGCTGTTGGTGTGCATGAGTGGGATTGAGTGGGTGAGCAGTTATATGGCTTGCTAAAAGTGTTCAGGACCGACGGCGGCGTATAGCTATCAAACTACGTGGCTGGGTGGTTGCGCTTCATCTGGGCCCGCAGCATACTGTAGAAAGCCTTCACCTCCTTCACCCTGACACCAGAAAGCGCACATGCACTGGCTGTGACAGGAAAATGCCCCGGTGACATGTTTGCTGTTTCTGGGTACCCAGCTCCGCTTGACAAGTTGGCATGATGTGGTGTTCAAGTTGAGCAGCTTCGGAACGCTGCCTCTGATGTGTAGGTGGCCTAAACTCTTGAATTCTCGAAAGTGACAGGGATGCCTAGCAGGGCAGGAAGCTCGTGTGGTTTTCAAGCCAGGAGTTCTACGACTGCTTGGAGAGCTACAGCATCTCAGGCAGGGCAAGAATGCTGACACGCACACGCAGGCGCACGTGCACGCGCGCACGCCCGCACGCCCGCGCACGCATGCACGCACGCATGCACACACGCACGCATGCACACGCGCACGCATGCACAGGCGCACGCACGCACACGCACACGCACGCACACGCACAGGCACACACGCACACGCACACGCACACACGCACACACGCACACGCACGACACTCACACGCACACACGCACGCACACGCACACGCACACGCACACGCACACGCACACGCACACGCACACGCCCACGCGCCCACGCGCCCACGCGCACACGCCCACGCCCACGCCCACCCGCACCCGCACCCGCACCAGCACCCGCACCCGCACCCGCACACGCACACGCACACGCACACGCACGCACCCGCACGCACGTACACGCACGCACACGCACACGCACACGCACACGCACACGCACACGCACACGCACACGCACACGCACACGCACACGCACACGCACACGCACGCATGCACTCAAACCCACACACTCACACACTCACACACTCACACTCTCTCACACACACACTCACACACACACACACTCACACACACACACACACACACACACAGGTACGAACTGCACGTGCCATGTTAAGAAAGCGTCTGCTTCCTGCGGATGCCTAATGCGCAACAAGCATGACTTGACTGGAAGCGTTGAAAGGTCACCCAACAACAGACGGGTTCGCATCGTGGAACTCAATCCCCCCTGCATCTGCACCCGCAACCGTTCCTCGTCCGTTCTCCAGATGGCGACGACCCTGCCACAGCGCCAGGCTCCCAGACTCCCTGCGCAGTCACGACTGTGAGACCTGTTGCGTCGGTGTGCCTATAGTCCGAGGCACATGGACGTGGCCGACCTGTTTTGGTGGTGAGTGCGTGGGCCTTGGATCAAATCATGGCGATCAGCAGTCAGCGTAAGAATGATTTGACATCTGCTCGTCCAGATTTCCTAGGAAGTTTTAGGGAGACCCCTTAACAAAAGCCCTTCTTAACCTTGCTTCAGGCTCTTTTCAAAAGGACTTATTCAAAGGGGGCTACATCCCCGAGGGTCCTCCTAATCTTAACTCCTAAGATTAAGCGCTTGGCAACAAGACAGAAACCTTTGCAAGCGTCGGATGCGACCCTGTGGCAAGCGAAGGCTTTCGGAGACTGGATGAGCCATTAGCAGCAATCCGAAAAGAGGGAGTGCTGTGTGGGGACTGCGTAATGCCCGCTTGGAGTCGCCACCATCAGCCACACGGGCCTTGAAACTCAAACACTCTCCTCAATCCTGGCAACCCTGCGCCGAGGGCCTGAGCCCATCAACCTGCCAACCTGCACGTTAAACTCGGAGACAGGAAACTCTGAGCCGTCTGAGCCGTCAAGTCAGTGGCGCTGACCAGATCAGTTAGACTGGCATAGCGCGAAGTTTCACCATCCTCGCTCCTTAGGAGAACATGGATGGCCCGCTTGCATCCGAGAGCTTCAACATGAGAATCCTGAGACCATCCAAAACAAGTTTGCCAGCTGCTAGCATTGTAATTGCTTCATGAAGTACCTTGCGCAATGTTTGGGTTAGAGTTGTCTTCTGAGTGTTTGTGTAAGCATGGCGCAGAAGCGTGCCAGGCAAAGGCAGGGATCTGGGCGGTAAGTGTCGCATGCGACTGTGGCTGCAATATGATGCACATCCCAAGCTATCAGGGTGGGTGGAGCATGATTTCGAAATCACGAAACTAATCAACCTTGCCGAAAACGTCGGAACACAACTCCAAAGCGTACTAAAGCATAGCAGCACATACCGAAAGCTTAGAAAAGACACCAAAACGTACCATCAGCAGCAAAGCAGGGCTGCTGTGATGATGCTTTGATGGTTGGATTGAGCCGTGGGACGATGGGACCGCGAGTAATTTTGGCCGGGTAGTAGGACGACTTCAAGCTGGGGCGGGAGCGCATCGGCGTTCAGCGGACACGACTGCCTTATCGAGCTCGACCCCACCGGGCGCGTCGCGTCTAACCTCGAACTGTTCCGATCCAGATCGCACCAAGTCACCAAGTTGGTAGAGTGTCTCACCACCAACTACATGAACATAGAGCAACCAATTGATTCTGTTATCAAGAAGAGAGCAACGCAGCTTCAGACAACGCAGACACTGCGGCCCCTGCGGAACCACTTGAAGGGATGGATTAATCCACTGCTAGATGGGCTCCATGCATGACAGGCACCTACACCAAAAAAGTCACGGGTGTGGATATGTGCTCAGTGATCAGCATGTACGAAGCCGGGTAGTCAAGTTTAGCTGCTGTTGCAAAGTCGTAGCCCTAGAAGCCAGCAGTGTTGACTGCGAGCGACTTACCGCAGGGCGCCCTTTTTTGGGCCAACAAGGCTCGAACAGCCGTTGTTGCAGGGCAGCTTCATGGATTGTAAAGTCGAGCCGGCTACCAAGTGGTGTCACTCCAGCATGTCGCTGTGCCTGAACTGCAATGTCCGAAAAGAGTGGCAGGCGGCTCTTATATTCAACCAGTAAGCTCATTGCTGAATGTCGTCATGTACACTTGGAAAGGGCAACCGATGTGCCCAGGGCCGTCAGACAGGCTGGACAAGACCGACGTTAAATAAGATCTCGACGAACGCAAGGAAGTCTGCGGCCATGAGCGTTGCTATGGCTCGCCGTCGGCCCTCCCTTCGCGGCACTGTGCTGGCAGTGCTTGGCCTGCCCCTGTGCTTCTCCGAAGCCAGCGCTGCGGAACAGGCGGACAGAATCAGCAAAGGCATAGGATTAGTGACGAGGTGCAATTGTACGGCTTTTCAGGAACAATACTACTTGCATGACGGCTGCTGAGTTTATTGCAGGTTCCCTTGGGATGCTTCCTTTACGGCTGGAAGCATGCGACCAAGTGGTGTGGGCAGGAAGGAAACACGCTCGATATGACACGGCCGCGTGCAGGGTCGCCGAGGCGCTCAGCGGCATCTCAAACCCAGTAAGCTCACCCAGATGCTGTGAGGTCTTTCTCCCCCCCACGGTTCCTCTTCCGTGTGGCTGAGGTGAACGCCTCAGATGCGGTGGAGTGCCAGAAGAAATGTGCGGCGGCTTGGCAGCTTAAAGCTTGCGCTACAGAAGTGGTGCTGTTGCGAATTAATTACTCCTTGCTGCCTTCCCTCCTTCCTTCAATCAATTAAACATTCAATCATTCAGTCATTCATCCATTCGATGAGTCAATCAGTCGTTCATCAATCACTGACTCATTCGTTCACTGACTCATTCACTCATTCACTCATTCACTCATTCACTCATTCACTCATTCACTCATTCATTCATTCACTCATCCATCCCTCCATCCCTCCATCCCTCCATCCCTCCATCCCTCCATCCATCCATGCATCCCTGCATCCCTCCATCCATCCATGCATGCCTGCATCCCTGCATCCCTGCATCCATGCATCCATGCATCCATGCATCCATCCATGCATGCATGCATGCATGCATGGACGAATGCATGTATGCATGTATGCATACATTTACACATTCAGCTCTTATGCATTTCATTCATTCATTCATTCGTTCATTCATTCGTTCGTTCATTCATTCATTCATTCATGCATGCATGCATGCATTCATTCATCCATCCATCCATCCATTCATTCATTCCTTCATTCCTTCATTCCTTCATTCCTTCATTCCTTCATTCCTTCATTCATTCCTTCCTTCATTCATTCCTTCATTCCTTCATTCCTTCATTCATTCCTTCATTCATTCCTTCATTCATTCCTTCATTCATTCCTTCGTTCATTCCTTCGTTCATTCCTTCGTTCATTCCTTCGTTCATTCCTTCGTTCATTCCTTCGTTCATTCCTTCGTTCATTCCTTCGTTCATTCCTTCGTTCATTCCTTCGTTCATTCATTCATGCATTCATGCATTCATTCATGCATTCATGCATCCATTCATCCATCCATCCATCCATCCATCCATTCATTCATTCATTCATTCTGTTTGGCTTTCGTTCGTTCATACATGTGTGTGTGTGTGTCTATATGTTTAGTTTGTCTCTATATCTCTATCTAACTATACATCTCTCTCTCTCCCCCTCTTCATATACATCTGTATACAATATACATACATATATATATATATAGATGTATGTGTGTAACTATATGTCTATGTCTATGTCTATATGCATGGATGTATGTATGTATGTATGTATGTGTGTGTATACATGCGTACATATAGACATATATACACACACAACAGTTTGCAGCTGCAGGCCACCGACGAGTGCAAGTCCTTTGGCTTCCAGACATCTTTCAATGCCCCTTGCTGAGGATGCTGAGGGGGACAAAAACAGTGGCTTCTAAACGTAAAGCAGAGTCAGCATCGCATGTTAACGGGCTGCGCGGCGGAAGAAGCTTGCAGGCTTGCTGGCTGGGATCGGACATTCAGACTCCAAGCAGGGCACTGTCAAATGGGTCGCCCATGCCTGTTACGAAGTGCAATGAGTGAGTGCTTTGGGATGCAAACCTGGTGGCAGCTTCGTGGCTGGGCCGGCCAAATGTGTTGCGGCTGTCCCCAGAAAAAACAACGCTGCCGACTCGCAGATAGAAACCTATTCGTTCGAGGCGGAAAGAAGATTCCTGAGTGGCTTGGAGGCTCGCTCTTCACAAGCAGCAGGGGCAGTCTGGGATGCGAGCTTGCTGAGGCCAGCCCCGCTTGCACTGCATCGCCAAGCATTCGGTTTCCCGGCTGCTCAGCCGGCAGTCAGAGTCAGTCAAGCCAACTCTTGTATGAATGAGGAGTCAGGTTTCATGGCACTCGGGAGGTCGGACGGCCGGAGAGTCAGCATCCACCTTCACCTCCGGCATGGCCGTGGCCCCCAAAAAGTGCTGTTCTGGTGACTCCGGTCCTCTCTGCAGCTGAGGTCCCTGTGCCCCTGCAATGCTGGCCGCACTACGCAGCAGCCCTCCCTACGGGACTTGAGCTCCTCTCTCGCCCTCTTGCAATCTCGCTCGCTCTTGCGTGCCAGACCGGGAAGCCGGCCTTGTGCAAGGGCTCCCTGATGCAAGTCCTGGAGGACCCAGAGAGAGCGGCAGAGAGACAGAGCGAAACGCTGGAAGAAATCGACCTGGTTTCACGCCGAGGGCGACAGCAAGCAAGCAAGGGAGACGCCAGTGGCGGGGTTTAGCCATAGTCGACAGGCGCCTTAAGGGTCATAAATTCTGGAGATTCTGGGTTAATTGGTCAAGGAAGTCTTGCAGTCCAACGGGTGATAAAGACCCCCCCCCGTGCTGGGCGACTGTGCGCGGGCTGCTCTGACGCAGGATTCTGCCACGGGCTGGCCCGGAAACTGTCCGGAACTGAGCGGAGTCTCGAAGAAGTCCTCCTCTTCGAAGCGTGCGTTGCTTGCGGACCGGAGGTCTAGGCTTGCATTTCCTGCCGGACGAGACGCGCCTTGGACCCCGTGGTTGAATTCGTATCCTGCAAAGCATGGTTTGGGCCCTGAGAGGTCAGAAACTTGTGAGACGCCAGCGCCTCGGTGATCCCCCGTCTGTGCTGTGTTACCATGCGCTCTCGAAGGAGTTGTCGCGGCAATGTCAGCTGCTCAACATTCCAAGTCGTTGAAACCGATGCCGGGATGCAGGGCCCTCAGGGTTTGAGGCCCTGAGGCCTTGGGGCATGTTGCATTTCTCCCGCGCTTGGTGCCTGAGGCTGGAATGCTGGCAGGGCACCGGCTACGACTGTTTCCGAGACAATGTGCAGGCCCAGAACCCAGAAGGGGCCTTGCTGGAGAAGGTAGAGTAGGCTGGTCGGCCTCCTCGGCCTCTCGTGCAGACCGGTTTCCATGCATGCTGGTGTCTTCTCGTCTCAGGAGAAAATTCTGGCTGCAAAGCGCTTTCTGCGTGGCCGGTACCGCGTGGCTTGGCCAGCAGGAATGCAACCCTGCGATGCTTGTCAGGAAGAGCCCAGCAAGGACGTATCATTCACTGGCTCTTCAGGTTCTGAAGGACTTGCGCGGCTTTGAGGCAGAACCACCAAGAGGCATGCGGTTGATTCTCCGACACCACCCACTGCATCTGCAGGTGACAGGGTTGCAGTATGCCTTCGGCAAGGAAGCTTTTGGATCGGATGTGGAGCAGGCCGCGATTTTTCAGCTTCTGCCGCTTGCCTGGCGATTTCTGACCCAGGCTGTCATGATGTGCCGGGAGCCTGCATCACTGGCATGTTATGCTGCACTTGCCGTACTGTGGCTCAGGCAACCACACCTGCTTATCTCTTGTTACGTGTCAAGCCTGGAGATATTCCACGGGGGACCAGCTTGCCGGCCAGACTCCGCAAGCCACTCACTTTGCTAGCCCTTGCCAACGTGCAGGATGGATGCTGGTTTGATCGTGGCGAGCTTGTTTATCCGTCGAAGCCCTGGATTAGAAACGTCGAGATTGCAGTGTACATGCTTCGGCCACTCAGATCCTTCGTTCAACATGAGGCCAACCACCGATACATTTATGAAGGGCACGGAAGCAGCAGCACTCGCTGCTTCCTCTGGGTGACTTGTAGTGAACCAGTGATTTGACGACTGCCTGTAGCTACTTACGCCCAGGTTGTGGCCGGGGCCTATGTCCAGCGGCTGTGCGAGGTTCCGCAGGAGAGTATATCAAAAAAATTTGTCGAAGTTCCGGGAATCCTGCCCTCCAGGATCTGCACGAGGTGGTCTCGACATCGGCCGCCATCGCCATAATGACGACTCCAGAGGTCTGGGCCCATTCCCTGCGAAGCAGAGCCGAGTGCGGCCGAGTCCAGGCCCTCAGCCTCTCCACTCTGCCGCTGAGCACTCTCCCTCCGCCGGCCATGGCCTCACTCGCCATGCCTCGCCGACGTTTTACGAGAGTCTCCTAGCGTCTCAGGTGCTGCCGCCGGTGCCGCCCGTGGCCGCTCTGATCAATGCTACCGCTCTTCCAGATGTCCCTGGTGTCTCGGGTGTCTCGTGGACGCTCTCCACGACGCACACGCCATCCACGACCGCCGCGACCGCCGCGAGCGCGACGGTGACCACAAACGGAAGCGCCTCCTTCCTCCCAGCGGTCACCGTCGCGAGCTCGGCGAGCCACCAGAGCTCCCAGGCCTGGGCTGCCTCCCTCTGTGAAACCCTTTTTGTGTCGCACGTGTCGCAGGACACGTCCGACCGATTTCCCGGCACCTTCTTGCGGGTTCTCTCGTCAGGAGGGCTTCGGGACGGGCCACATCGGGGTGAGCACCCCGCGCGCGTGCGCGCGCGCGCTGTTCCGCGAGGCTTGGTCTTCTACAAGAGTGCCCGGCGCTTACCCGGTGCTTGTTTCTGCTTGATCACAGTCTTCTTGCGTGCTCAAGTGGTGCCGCGGCCAGGAGGATGACGTGCCGGACACTCACGGCATCTTGCAACGAAGCCCGAGCTGGCTGCAGTGGCTGCAAAACAACACCCCCCCAGGCTGCACATGGTTCCTTCTGGATGCAAGGAGCTATCCTGTCTGGAGCTTGATTTATAAGGTGCAAGCAAGAGACACGAAAGTCACTAAGTTGTCTCTGCTAGAAGCTGACAGAAGTGACTGGAGGCGGCGAGCGCGTCGTCGATCAGTGCCGTGCAGCTGCCTCCGTCTCCGAGGCGAGGCTCGCGCGACGTCTCGCGAACCATCGGCTTGTCGCCCAATGCTTGGGTTTTCCGCCTGTGCGCACCGCCCTTCAGGAGGAGGTGATCAGTGACAGCACGGGCCAGGCCTGGCCAGAGTCTGGCGCAGTCTGCCGGTCCGCCGAGCGGCCAAAGTCCAAAGTCTGCTCCGGCCCGCCGATCGACTTGCTCCGATCAGCTGCGAGGAATTCTCGTGTGCGCTTCTGACAGTCGAGATCTCAAGCACCGTCCTGCAGCACACTTCGCCTCACATTGGGACTTGAGGCTTCCGGTCCGAGTCTCGGGTTGCAGATCTGGCGATGCGACACGCAGACGCACAGCTCTGAGCAGCTGCACAAAAAAGCTTCAGGTGGGTCGCAGAACTGGTGGGCCGGAGCCTTGTCTGCTTCGAGGAATGCCCGGCTTGGGCTTGTGCCAACCCGCCTGAATCGTGTTGAAGTTGAGAGACCTGGACCCTTCCATCCCCTTCTTCGTTCTGCGTTCCACAGAAACACCAAGGTCCTGCTGATATTTGCAGCGGTCCTTGCCCTCTGCTGCAAGAGCCCAAGGAATCGTCGCGAAGCAGCGTGAAGACGGAAGGCATGACGGAGGCGGAAGAGGCGGAAGACTGAAGACCCCACAAGTTAACACGAGCTTGGTAATTTGGTTCTTGGTGCATCGGCATTGTCGTAAGGTTAGTTGTTAAGCTGCCACGTCCTTAACAATCGTTCAAACAATGTCGGCTGTCGGCGCTCCCTTATCGCAATTTCAATGAGTCGTGTAGAGTCAGTGTAGAGCCGATGCACAGTTGCAGAGAGAAGCACATGGGTTGGAATGCACCATAAAGCCTGAGCATAGGTTGGGCCTGCAACCACGCCTCCTGGTACTACTACGACGAGATTGACCAAGTCTCAGTCGCGCAGGTTGAGACATTGAGACGTATGAGTAGGGGAGTCAAATCCATGCAGCATGTCATCGCCTCCCCGACTGGCAAGAAGACCGTTGCGAGCGCCCCGAGTGATAGGATGTTGAGACTGCCAGGATCTCGCGCCCCATGAGGCTTCTGCAGCACTGCTCCTGCTTCTGCTGCTTCCGCTGCTTCTGCTTCTGCTGTCACAGAGTCACTTGGCACATTCAGATGTGACCTCGACCCAGGTGGATCGGTGCCCGGAGCTGGATGGATACTTGCCACGGACCGAGTCAGCGGGGCTGCGAGAATAGCCCACACAACGCTCCTGCGCTCCGCTCGGCTTCGCTCGGCTCAGGCCTTTTCAGTGGTGCTTCGGTGCCCGGCAGAGCTTCGCCAAGCTGCAGGCGAGGCCCTGTGAGGCCCTGTGAGGCTGTGAGGCCCTGAGGCCCTGGCTCCGCGGAGCCTCCGCTCACGCTGCTCCTCAGTGCTCCTCCCGGTCCGCAGGGGAGCCTGCGTGACCGGACCTCGAGATCCGCGGGAGTGTCAGCCATCAGAGCTCGGGCGAGAGAGTCGGTCCAGTGCTTCTCTTCACTTCTGCAGGTACGATCCGGAAGATCAGGTGGAAGCTATTCCCGAGTTTTTGTACTTGTAAGTTGGGCTTTTGCCGCCTCGTCTCGTCGCCAGCTCCCGCTCATGGCTCCTGGCGGTCCTGGCGCACCCCAACCCCCGGGGGGGCCGACAGTCGGGCAGCGAGCTCGGCTTCGTGCTCGTTTGAACCTCTCGGAACCTCTCGGAACCTCCTCTCACCTCTCTCTTCTGACTCTTCTGACTCTGACAGGTACATGCCCGTGCCCGCCATTGCACAGTCGCTGCCAACCCAGCAGATGATGGGATCCATGGGGGGCCCAACGGGGGCCTACGACCCTGGCATGCCCTCTGGATTTTCCTCGCCCGGAGCTCCAAGAACCGGAAGAAGAAGACCTTTCAGAAGAGTTGGGCTTCCCTAACGATTAGGTCCTATCAGCCTTCTCCCGGCCTGGGTCCCTACATGGAAGCTCCTCTGCCTCCGACGGTCGGATGCTCGAAGATCTGGGCTTAAAGATTCGCGATTGGCGTTAAAACGAAGGAAGCTGGATATGATCTGGTGACCGTGACGCCGGGCGGATTGCAGGTGGGGGTATTCACCGGTCTGCCCGTGTGAAGTCTGTGGGTTCTGAGGTTACCCCCCTGGGCAACGCGCCTTTGCCTGCCGGAGTTCGGCCCTCAGAGTCGTGGAGTCGTGAGGAGAAGCATTCGCCTCACTTCGTGCCCGCGGAGGTTCCGATCGTGAATCCGGCGCATGTATCCATGCACCAGTTTACGTGAGACGAGAGCTGTGACTGGGTCGCCGTGGGCCGGGAGCTCCAAAGCCAGAGCGATCTTGCCACGCGGTTTTCACCTTTGCAAGCCCGACGAGACGAGAACACGTATGCAGTATGCAGCTTCATTCCGTGCATCTGGCACGAGGAACATGCGCTGTTGGTTCGGCTTTGCACAGAAAGGTACAGTTGTGACCCAATTGCAACTCAGACTCGTGACCTTGGCCAAAGATGCGAGGTCTTGCGAGGGGTTCAATTGCTTTCGAAACGACTAGAGCCAAAATGCTGGAAACAGGTTTTCGACATTTCTGGCTGCCTGATATCATCCTGGCGAGATGTTGCAGCTGCCTATACTGTGATGGCTTGCTATACGCAGGGTTTGGCAAATTAAATTACATGCAATCACTCTCTATGTGTTCTTATTTTCTTTGCAATCATTGACTTAGAAATCCCACCAGCCGCCAAAATCGTCCATGTAGAGGTGCATTGCTGTACCTTGGGTACAAACGGTCATTCCGCAGGATCAGAATCGCAAAATACGGAATCTTCGAAGCCTGCAAATGCCGAAACACTGCGCACACCTCACGTGCAGATGCTATGTCATGCTCCCCTCCTGCGGAAGTTGTAACCTTCCAAGACAACGGCAATCTGTACTGTAATATATTCATTTGATTAATAGCTTCCTGAGAAACTTATTGCGGCTGGGAGTGTAAGTGGCTGTGGGCACAGATTTTATAGGGATAGGTGCGAGATTTTTGCAGGTTGGAATAGCTTTTCAGCGAACTCGAAGGTTAGTGTAGAGAGTAGTAGAACGTTTGAGCCAAGGGGCCGCATTAGGAGCATCCAAGTGAATACTCTTCTCCGTGAGCTTGACACATTACAGCTATTTGGCCCAATATATGACCATGCAATCTACCCTCACAGCATGCTCAAGACCCTTGCAACACCTCAATTCTGCCGCGGACTGGCCTTGCATGTTGGAGGTTTGCATGTGCTCCTCAAGGTGAGGTGCTAAAATCATTGGCAATCTACTGACTACTGACAAGCGTCTAGCAGCACTCTTGAGCTTGGTATTCCTGTGTTGTGAGCCTTGTGACTCGTGCGCATCTCGGAGTTGTGAGGGTCCGAAACGGCCGTTGCTTCTTGCTCGGCCCTTGAGATTGCGAGCCCAGGCTCGTCGACATGGATTTTTTGGCCTCTGCCTCAGTTTGATGAGCCGTAAGTTTTGGAAAACACCCAGATCACAATCGTCACTCCTAGCAATTAGGCGGGAAGCATTGATCTGGTAGAGAAAGTAGTTGCTTTCACCTTAAACTTCGCCAACTCTTCGGAAACAAGGCTTAACCAGAGCACCCAAGCGAAACCACGGTCCCAATCCTCAACGCAAGTTTCGCATCTTTATCATCTTAACCCGCACAAGGCGTGTCATCCTTGTGCAGGGGTCACGCTGCACTGACGTGGTATCCTGCGTGGCAGCTATTGCCTTTGGCCTGCCCTTCCGTGGTTGCTCTCACTTGTGGGAAAACACCCAAAGCACGCATCACCTTTTCAGCCCCACAGCTGACTCCATGGAACTCCAAGGCCTACGTCGGAATCTGGGAGCTCCTGGAGGAAATCAGGGCGGGAGTTTGATAGTCTCAAGCAAAGGAAGCCGAGCCGAGAACAGTAGGAGATGGAAAAAAGAGTACCGCAACAGTTCTGACAGAAGGGTTCGGGACTCGGGTCCTCCGAGGCTCGTCCTGCAACCTGACTAGAGAACCGACAACACTGGATGCCCGAGGGTGCCTCAAAGATAGATTGTCATGAAGTTCATGCTGAGCTCCTGCCATTGTGCTTTGTGGGTTGCCCGAGAGTTCACACCTTAAAATGATCCCCCGTCACATTTGCTCAAGTATGTCCTAACCGGCTTCAACCCAGAGTATGGCTAGGCGGGGAAAAGACTGGAGCTTGAAAACCGAAACCATAGTGCCATAGGGCATTGTAGTCCTGGACCCTGGACAGTCAGTTCCCCAAGTCGTGGATTCTTCTCTTGATACCGAAGGAGCCGTATTGTAATGCGCCTCCGCCTCCGAGGAGGCGCGGATTGAGGTGCTTCCATTTGTGGGGCTTTCTTGGTTTAGGGGTGGTTTGCAGTCGTGGCATGGCCTTCGTGTTTTCGGACCCGCTAGAGCTTGTTGTGGGTGCGCCTTTTCCGCACCCTGGCTCGCCCTCCGGTGTCGTCATGTGGGGTGCAGTATGCCGCCTTCCCTTTTAAAACCGGAAGAGATTCGCCCATTACGAGGATCGGATTGCGTGCCTTCTCTTCCCTTTAGCTGATGTACACGGGGTTATTATAGGAGGTGTTGAAATGTGTTGTGGGGCTTTGCGGGTAGCCCTATGCGCAGCTGCTCCGGCTGCCAGCTCTTTCGGACCCTTTAGCCTTGGCGACCTTCGCCTTGGCAAGATGAACCTCGGCAGGCATTGGCATGCCCTGTGGAGTTTCGACAGCGAGTTATTGTTTTTGCGACTTTAATTTCTGATGTCGAAGCCTCGTTGTGGGAAGGCTTGGTCTATAAAATGATCTCCCTGTTGTGCGGCTGGCAAAAATATATTCTCAAATACAGGCTATCGGCATGCGACTTCTTCCCTGTGGTTCCAGCTCCTTGCCCAGACTGTAGTGGTGCAGCGAGTGCTGGAAAATTCTAGGTTTCCCGGATGTTGCGGGGTAAGTCAAATCGTCCATAAGGAGAGACAGCTGGCGAAGCAAACGACGACGCTGAAGGCATTGGCGGAATGTTTTCTTTGTCGCACTTCACTGAGCTTAGATGTTTATTCCGAACTGTCAGATGGAAGCGGCGCTCCTTTTGCCAGTGCATCGGCACACCAGCTCTTCCCTCGCGGCAGCTGGTACAGAACAGTAGTGTTAGCTGTCTAGCTCCGACCGGGCACTCCTCCCACATGTGATCTTCTCCGTTTGGATGTTGTTGAATTCGGGTTTCCGGTGCCGCTATTCCAGCAGCTGTCGAGAAAGAAGGACGCTCGATGTAGTCAATCGGTTGTTGTATTGCATCCCATGGTGGAAGTGTTCAATGGAGGAAACGGCGCAGATATGACGTTAGTATGACCTTCAGTTCTGCTGCGTTTCCATGAGAGAAAAGCCTGCCTTGCACGTGACAGGAGCGCTTGCCTGTAACCAGTGGTTTTCAACCTTTCCGCAGCGAACTCATCGTGCTCTCGGGTAGCCAAACCTTTTGCCGACAGGTGGAGTCTCTCATAGGTTTGCTGCTGCTGCCCTTTCAATATGGAACAGTGAGATAATGTAGGGCGGTTGACTGCTGACGGTGTTCTGTTCGGACAGATTTGGTCAGGAATTCTCATGCCCTGGACCTGTAGTTTGCTGTTCGTAACATGCTCGTGCATGCAAAAGGTTTGGTTTTTCAAGACTTGCTCGTGCGAGATATCGCATCCACGCCACTCAGAGGAAACTGCGTCTCGTGACACCTTGACCAGCTGGAAAGTTTGCATTCTTCTTAACCCAAAACGATGAATTGCACTTCCGACCGCGTCAATGTGAGAATTGACATTTTTCTCGATCCCGCAATGACGAATGTCTCACGAACGACATTTCCGACATGTCTCAATAATCGCGCTTCTGACAGCTGGTCCACGTGACAGTTGCGGTTTGGATGGTGATGTGAGGGATACCTCGAGGAATTGCTCACAAATGCAAACGTACCGGGCTGCTGGGCCTGCAACTAAGCTGTCCGCGAGCAAAGACCGGGCAAGGACAACAGCATCACATCTGTCCAGCAACGCCCCCCGCAGAAAGAACCTTTGCAATGCTGTCGCAGAACAAGATCCAGCGGCTCATACTTCAGGCATGACGAGTAGAAAAGCACAAGTCTAGTTTCACACGCATAAAAGCAGCAACCCAGGTATTGAAGCACCATGCAAACCAGGCGAAGTTGGAGGAC